TCTCAAATGGGTATCAAACCGCTTAATGTTCTGTAAGCTCCCCTTCTCTATATCTTAAAACTTCTTGACATCCCTATTATCTCTTCCTTTCCTCTCACCTCTGATAATAAGATTGCTCTTCTCTTTTTCAGCGCAAATCATCTATATGTGTCCTTGATTCCATCTACTTCTTATGTCTATAGCAGACTACATTCATCAAAGCAATCATCACTGCATACTATTCTTCAATCTCTCCCTGTCTAATTGTTCCTTCCCAACTTCAAGGAAACATGGCTGAGTCTTCCCATTAAAAAACAAACAGAAACCTCTAAGTGGGCCTTGCAAACCTTTCAAGATATAATTTTATTTCTCCTCTCTTTCACAACTAAAATCTTAGGGGAAAAACAACAAACACTTTTATATCCACTTCTCCTCTTACTCTTTACCTCTGCAATGTGGCTTCTGACCTCATCATTCAACAGAAACCTCTCTCCAAAATTACCAAAGGTCTCTTAATTGTCAAATCTGTTAGTCATTAAAAAATCTTTCTCTTTCTTGATCTCTCTGCCACACTCAACAATGTTGACTACCCTTTCTTTCTGAAAACTTTTGCCTTCCTTGTTTTCTCTGACATTGCTACCTACTGGTTCTTTTCTCACTTGTTTGCCTGCCCCTTTTCAGTTTCTTTTGCTGGTCCACTATCTATGTCAAATGCCTTAACTGGGGTATTATCATAAGGCTTTTCTCTGGGCTCTCTTCTTTTCTCTCTTCACATTCTATCGGTAAATTCATTAGTGATTTAATTATAATCTTTTATCCAAATGACTCCCAAATAAAAATATCCAGCCCTAATCCCCCAAGTTCCAGTAGTATGTCAACAATTGCCAACTAAACATTTCAAACTGGATGCCCTGAAGATATTGAAAAGTTAGCACGTCCAGAACAGAACTCATTAACTTTCCCTCACACGTCATGCTCAACCAAGAGTTCCTATTTTATCATGTAATAAAGTATCTTTAAATTTAAACATTTTAAAGCTGCTATTTTCTTAACTTTACACTTCCTTTGACTTTATAAGAGATGATAATTTAATCTGAATGTTATTACAGAGCAGATGAAACTCAGTTTCAGGAGAAATGAGGACTATCTTCAAGGAGGCTAAATGTAGAGGAAATGGACTTGGCATATACCTATATGGAAGCACAGCTAGCAATGAAATAGTGGCCTGTTTACATCATTTTCAACTGATCCCTTTGAGTTTCCTGGTTTCAGGATTGTAGATGAGTCTCTCAAAGAAAACAAAGAAGGTCACATTCTGATAAAATAGAGATAGGGTTGATAAAGTGGCTTTGTGAGCTAAATTTACTTAAACCAGAGAACAACTGAATGAGTTTCTTTGAGGTTGATTTAAACCATTATGGTTTCACATTTCTTCTGATGGGTGAATTTTTCTGCCAACAGAATATCTGTTATGATAAGAGACACCAAGTGACTTACATGTCCCCTGTTAATAATCATTTCGGGCAGGAAGCATCAACATTTTTACCTAATTCAGAATGTGCTCAGGACTTCAGAAACCTTTTTTCCCCCCTTTACCTTATGGGTGAGAGACAGATTTGTAAAAATTCCCAGACTATTATTGAACATGACATATTTAGGAGGGCAGACATTACACATTCATATCAGAAAATTGGATTTATTCCTCACGGACTATTACAAGTTATAACAAATTCCTAGATTTATCTTTGTGGTATATTCTGATATTCTCATCTCTAGGAATCATTTCCCATATGAATTTTAATACCTTTGTATAAACATATATGGATATGATATCCAGTTCATTAAACAATCTTTTGGGGTTGGTTATCTATCTCTGCTTGTGAATCATGTGATTTCTCATTACCCTGCCTGCTTATTATATTTGGATGCCTGGATTCATTTTAAGCTCTCCCTGAGATCTTTTAGTTGGCACAAATTGCAAGCATTAAATTAAGCTGGCACCCATCTAGGTGACGGAGATGAAGTGTTTGCAAAGTACTATATAGTCACATATCATGGCAGCATAATGAATAACCAGGATCATCCAAATAATTCATTTGGAGTGAAAACTGACTTGGTCACATAAGTCCTTAAAACCTGACTAGAACATAATAAGCTCAGAATAAATATGTATATATAATTTTTCTTTTCCTTGTTCCTCTCAACTCTTCCCTTCTCCCCAACTTGCTTTCCCCGCCCCAGAAAAAAGAAACAAACAAAATGCTTTTGATACTTCATCAAGAACTGTCATATGGGATCCTAGGTTCAAATTGAACATTTGGTTGTGTGCTTGCTAAGGGTATTCATATAAGTAGGTATCAAAAGCCAGGTTCCTGTTAAGTTTACAAGTACATGCCTCAGAACTATAGGTTTTCCTGGTCCATTTCCCCTAAATGCATGGAGGGAACTAAGTCAGGTACTACACAAATGATCTGAAGCTTCCTTTTTGGGAAGCCAAATAATTGGGTGATGATTTCATCCAATTATCATCATTATCTACTTTTTTTTCTATTGCTTGATAGTTTTACAAATACTTTATCATAGCTGATGTGACAGGTAGATGGCCTGTTATCCCATTACAGAAGAGAAAGTTAAAAATGCTTAGAGAGATTAAGTGCCAAGTGTCTAGGGTTTAACAACCAGTGTTCTGATATCATGAAATTAAGTTCCATGGATGACTGGCTATATTTTTAAGTTTTCATCCAGATCATAGTATTAGGTACTGCCCCTTTCTTAAATGGACATTTTTTAAAAATTTATTGAAAGCAGCAGAAGAAAAGACATTTTATGTGAAACACACATGAAAAGAGCTTGAGAAACAAAGTCTCTGTTGAGGATCTTGAGACAGAGGAAGAGGGACAGTTTCTCAGATAAAAGTAATGAGAAGATCTGGGTAAAAGTAGAGCAGAGGAAAACATACTGATGACAGAGATGAATACAATACATTGTCTACCAGCAACTAATTTAAATAGGATTGTTTTCAGAACATCAGAATTTATTACCGGGGAAACTTGGTATCAAAGAAAAAAATTTGGGGACTTTTATATAATGACTATTTGTGTTGCATCAAACAGAAATGTGTATTTTGGGTTTCTCAACCTATGTTAGAGATGAGTCACTTTACATGAAAAGCCTCTGGTTTGAGACATTAGAAGGTAGATTAGAGGATAAACATCAGAAAGCAGATCAGGCGTCAGTGACCAAAGAAGCTAAATGTAGAAAAGGTATCAGAGAAGCTGAGAAGCTCTTTTAAGAAGTCAAGACACCAGAAGTTATTCGAGCTGAGAGGCTAACGGAAACCAATACCAGCTCACTTCTCTGCTTGTGATGTGGGAAGTGGATCTGATTGGAGGAAAGCTCTACTTTTTTGAAAGAACTGATTGGAGGAAAGATGAATCTTCTGCAGTGTCTGAAAAGCTGACCTGGGGAAGGGCTGCCTTGCTCTCTAGCACCACCTGCAGCTTGACACAGGGGAAACCTCTCAACAATTCACCTACATTTCCTTTTACTTGCCTCTATGACTCAAAGACTTTAGAAAACAAAATATAAAGATCTGTTTTTAAGAATGTTTATTTAAGAATGAGCAGTATCATTTAGGATGATGTATGATTATTGGAAGCACACTGATGGGGACTCAGGAATTATTATTGTGTATGAAGTTGTATATTTCTTCCCCACTAGGGTTGCCCTAAATAACCTTTGTTGTAGCCATTGACAATCCTCCTCTGTGAATCCCATCCACCCCCCAAGACTTGCCAGTGTGAGTTCAGGTTGTGGTGAGTGAATCAGGTCAGTGAAAGAAAAAGGAGATTTTTGATGCTACTTCAGGCACCTTACCCTCTATACACACTAAAATAGTATCATAGGATTATAGATACAGAACTCAAATGGACCTAACATAGGTTTATAAGACATCAACGCTGACTCTATTTCTCTCTGTCTCTCTGACTGTCTGTCTGTTCATCTCTGTCTCTCTCATTTTACCAATGAGGAAATGGAGGCCAAGAAAGTTGAAATGATTTGCCCAAGGCCATTGAGGCATGAAATGGCAGATGTAGGATTCAAACCTAAGTCTTGTGACTCTAAGTTCATCCCTCTTTCCATGTCACCATGTATGGTCATTTAGAGCTCAAGAAGCCCTTCTTTTGAACATTTTTTCATCATCTTGAAAACATATTTAAATATCAACTAGTGAAATTCCAAATTATTTCAGATATCTATAAGTAGATTAAAAATTCCTGAATTATTTTGTGCCTGTTGAATGCAATGCAGTATTTTTCAGGAGCAAGGGCTGATATGAGGGACCTTATCTTAGTTTGATGACTGACTTGGACTTCTTTCTTTCTTTCTTTCTTTCTTCCTTTCTTTCTTTCTTTCTTTCCTTCTTTCTTTCAGGGCATGGATAGCTATGCTTCTTCTGGGAGCTATTTTTATTCTCTGAAGCATGCAGCACTTTTCTCTGGAAATTATACAGTAAGAAAATGTTCTATGTTGTCCCAGTTGCCTAAAATAAACACATTACTTCCATATAAAATTTTCTTCCTTGCCATTTTCTAAACTCTCTTTTACCTACATGGACAATAGCCTCTGAAAGAAAACACTTAAAGTTGGTTCCATTACAACATTCACATAACTCATTGCTTTTCATCTTTATCCTTTACATCAAATGGCAGAAGGATTTCATATTTTGAATGCAGTCAATACACATGAAATAAATACAAAAATTCCAAAAGTACTCTAAACAGGGAAAGTGAAGTTAAATGTGTCTGTCTCACTGGAGACTGCAGGAAACTTGATCACACAATAGATATTTCTTTCACATTTTGGTTTTGGCATAAAGGGTTCATGTTAATTTACTGAGAATGTTCACCACAGCTCTGCTGCTATCATAAGTATTGTGGAAAGAAGTTTTTAAAGCTTTCTCCAAAGCTACTTTAGGAAAATTTCATAGAAGCAGATTGACAACAAGAAAAGTTTCAAACCTTTTAATGTTCTGAAAACAATGGGGTCAGAGAGAGGCCCCACTCCTTTGGAATTTCGGGCTTGAATTCTAAAGTAGTACACAGTGTCAAGGTTAAGATCCATAATTTGATGAGTCAGTCGATCACCACTGATTGATTCCATAATCCAGTCATCAATTGGTGTATTTTTGTCCAAAGTATAAAAGAGGATGTAAGCTGCAAAAAAAAAATATTGAGGGTGTTAATAAATGGAACTTCATGTTGCCATTTTGGTTCAAAGCACATGTGCTTTCCTGTTATCATTTTTAATGTTGGTGGTACATTAGAAAATATAGTACAGTACTATACCTATAAGTAATGATTTTCACCCCCACCCACATATATCACTGGAATTGAATAGATAATGCTGTAGCAATGCTCAATATTTCTATGAGGAATCATTAGAAACAAAAAAATGAAAAAATTTCAAAGCAAATTATATGTTACTCATAAATTCTGGTTGTCAAATTTGCTGGCAAATATCATGAAGATGAAAATAGGTGAATATATAAATGAAAGTTTTTTGTACTTTGACTGTAGAGGGGCAATAAAATTTATTTTGCTATAAAAATTCTTCTCTAATGCCTCATTAAGGTATGCAGTTAACCAAGTTTCTCTCTCTAGCTCAGTGAACTGAAGCCAAAGTACAGAGAGGTTCTTTGGAAAATAATCACTAAGTGATGAATTATTTGTGTAACAAAGAAAAATGCAAATGGACCTTAGTTTTATGTGGCACCCTTCTGTTCTTGAAGTAATGATGGAAGAATGCTGGAAAAGAGGGAAAAGGATGCTAACATTGTACTACTTATTAATGTTAACTAAAGGTATACTAAGTAATTATTGTGAGCAGGTCTCCTCTGGTGGTCAACATTTAGCGGATATAATATTAAAATTGACATCCTTTCATCTTTATGTAAGATGAAACCAGAAGACAAAAAGAAGTTGCATATAAATAGAAGGATGGATAATAGGTCTTCCTCAGAGTACCAAATAATGGAATGTATCCAAGTGCAATCAGAAACATTTAGGAAACCCCTAGTTAGAATGCCTTGCAGTGTTCAAGATAAGCATAAGCAATAAGACCACCATGAAGATAATTGCTATTATCTATATCATGAATTCCATGAAGCCATTGCTGAATCAGGAAGAAGCTTTATTAATGACCTGGGAAGTCTGGGCATCCCACATGTGTGAGAACACGTATGTGTGAGAGCACATGTATTGACAGATGCACACCTTTTTATTCCCTATTCCTGATTAGAATTTCCTTTCCCCATGTGAGTCTCCCTTACTATTTACATCTCCCACTCCCCACAATTTGGCCACCTGGGACCCTTATTTAATTTTGCCCTTATTTGGGTGTGCTCACATCCCTTCTGTTTGGGATACAGATGTGCTAATCTATACCTAACCTCAGAACTGGTTTTCCACAGGTTAGTCTATTCACCCACCAACAGTGTTTTCTTATTCTAACTTATGGCTTCCCTTATTCAACTTCCAACTAGCCCCAAGACTGCACCCCTGTGGAAATGAAAACCTGCCATTTCCCACACTCCCTCCCAGTCCAAACTGACTCCAATGCTATCATGTAGGCTTTGAACCCCTGATTGAGTGACACAGTTTAATGAAAAGATGCACGTGCAGGAGGATAGTGAAAAATATGTTGGAAAATATGTGTGTGTATATATATATATATAATATGCAAATATATGTGGCCTTTTAAGTCATATATATGTGTGTGTATCTATGTATATATACACACACGTACCATATTATACATGATATATAAAACAGAAAATATTTTAAAACCCATGTTATGTAATATATTATGTTTTATATATTGTATTTATCATGTTATATATTAGACTTAAAAGGTCAAAAAATTAAAGACTATGCAAGAGTGTCCCACCTATCTTTTATTAAATGCTTTTTTTTTAAAGAAAAATAATCATTAGACTGGAGATACTGAACATGTTGAAGCTCTCTTAATAATTTCTTAACTTGCCTTAATGATCACTTCATCCTTTAAAAGTTGTAGGCACCAGCAAGGAGGAATTCATTTTTAAAGTGAAAATGCTGAGAGGGTTGGGATGAGCTACTTCATCTACAGGGGTGGGGAACCTCAAGTGTGGCCCTTTAGATTTGGTCAAAGTGTAGCACTTGAGGACCTAGAGAGCCACATGTGGCCTTGAGGCCACAAGTTCTCCCCCCCCCCCGATTTAGAATATGTGAAAAAGGAGAGTGAAACATGAGGGGATTATCTGACATGAACCCTAGAATTTGGGGAAACTGATTAAATGAAATTTTTCAAGATGAACTTCTGAAGATGAAAAGAGAAATAATTCTAGAAAAGAGAGAAAAAAGGGAATTGTTTGAAATGATACATGTGTAAGCATAGAAAGTTCACCAACTAAATAGTATTTTATAAAGACATATACTGAAGATTCATGCAAGGCAGGTAATGGAAGATGAATACAGAAGTGCAGCAAAGCACCATCCCTGGAGTCAGGAGGACCTAAGTTCAAATCTGGCCTCAGACACTTACTACCTAGCTATGTGACTCCAGGCAAGTCAATTAACCACCATTGCCTCCAAAAAAAAAATGCAGCAAGGTCTTATAAAAATACAGGCCTGAATCACAGAATGAGCTGAAGTGATTAAGGAAAACTAAGAACAGCAAATTTGAAGGTATATTGAGAAAAAGAGGTGGCTCATGGCAGGGATAGTATAGTTGCTGAGATTGAATGAGATGGTTAATTGACAATGAAGAGGAGGCAGAGAGATCATCTTGGAGCCTCTTTTATTTATATTTCCAACTCTCCTGTTCAGCTTCTTTTTGTGTGTTGTTTTCCCTCATTAGCTTGTAAATTCTTTGAGCTCCAGAACTGTCTTTTTTTCATATTTATATCCCCAGAGTTTAGTACAGCATCAGGCAGATAGCAGGCACTTAATAATTGTTTGATTATCGACTATTGACTATGGGTAGTTAAGAATGGATAAATGCAATTCCCAAGTCATAGTCAGTGATGCTGAAAGGTTCTTAGAGAATGAGAGAATTACCAGAAGGTTTGGAGAAGGAAGAATATTTTTCTAGTTTTCTAGATGGGATTTGAAACAGTCCTCTGGCTTCAGTACTATTGCTTTCTACTGTGTCATACTGCCTCTCTCAGATAAAAGTTAAAGGAGTTGAAGAGATTAAAGAATTGGGAGGCCAGCATATTTGAATAGTCAGGAATCAGTGATAGGGGTACCTGGACCTCTAAAAGGAAAGGCCCTTGAACTTTCCCACAAATTTCAGGAACCCAGCCCCTGGCATCTGGCCCACCCCAGCCCACCTTCGTTACTTAATTAGCTTACTTGACACTCCTTAATCCTATCCAGGACCCTTTCTCTGTTATCTCTGGACCATGCCAAGATACTTGCCACTCTGTGATACCATCCAGATCTTCCCACAGTCTTTCTGTGTAAAAATATCCATGTCATCCTCATTAAATGTGCAGATTCTTAAAATCTGGCCCACTTGTATTGGCATCACAAATAGCACAAACTTTCTAGGAGTCTGGCCCATTTCTACTGGTGTTACAATAAACTCACTACTTGGACTGAAAGAAGGCTTGAGTGCTTGAATTCTTTTGAGGTAGACTCCTGCCCTTGTATTCTGGGGTTCCCAGCACCCCTAGACGGCAACATCAGGGCCCAGAAGAATTCACTGAACTAGGTCCTAAATTTAGTGAAGTGGATAGAAAGTGCCCTGCAGTTCCATAGCCGAAAGCAACAAGAATCTGTGCAGGATAGTGAACTTCAAGGGAAAGACAGCTGCTAAGTAATGATGGCAGAAGAGAGCCTGAACGTGACAGTAGAGAACAAGGAGTAAACCAACTCTCCTGTTCTTGTGTGTTAGGGAATATGAAGAATAACAGTATCTTCAGAAGAAGTCTAGGTTTCACTGAGCACCATATGATGTAAAGTATTTTCATGTTAAAAATCTAGAATAGAGACCTTCCTTAAGTGCTCCCATCATTGTGTGATTATCATTGGGGCATGTGTGCCATCCTTTGACTATTTATCATTTTCACCATGTGCTGGGTGCATTTTCTTTCTTAGGACTTCATCACTGTAATTAGACTTTGCAATGGCTCTTCCATGATTTTACTCATTAGTTGTTTGTTATGTTCTAGTATGGTTATGCCCACCATGTCTCTATCTCTGTCTCTCTCTCTCTCATTCCCTTTCTGTGGTTCTCAACTTTTTTTGAAGACTGTGGAGTTCCATGGCTTGAAGGCAGACAGTTGGGGCAGTTAGATTGCTAAGTAGATAGAAGGCTAGGCTTGTAGACAAGAGGACATGAGTTTGAATCTAGACCCAGACCCATACTAGCTATATGAACCTGGACAAGTTATTTAACCTCTCTCAACCTCAGTTTCTCCATTTCAAAAATGGGGGAAATAATAACACTTACCTCCCAGGGTTATTTGGAGTATCAAGTGACATTAACATACATGAAATATTTTTTGAACCTTAAAATGCTATGAAACTGTAACATTTACACCATCCTCAAAATAATATTGATGTTAAAAGTTGGACCTTCATTTCAGAAAGAATTTGAGACTATTTAAAGCACTGTAAAATACCAAAATGCAAACCAGCCTATCTCTTGTTCCTGTATAGTTCTAGCCCAGATCACTGTTCCCATATGGAATTAATCTATATAATACTGATCTATGACTATTGGACATAGAACTGGTAAATCAGCACATTTTTCTTAAGCAGATATTGTACTTGGACAGTGAGTTGGGCCCAGAATTGAACAGGAGGAAGAGAGTGGTCTAGATTGCCTTTGGAAAAAAATACAGTAGTTTTAATCATACCAAGTTTCTCTTTGAAGAACAGGTTCTCATAGACACACACACATTAAACATGTATGTATATTCTGATGGTTATTGGTGACTATAGTATCTCCTATGACTCACTGAAGAATTAAAGTTGTAGGTTACTTGAAGGACAATGCATGAGGAGGCTGAAGCATATTACCAATGAAAATAGGCACAGGTAAATGGCACAAAGTTATCATTAATGAAAGATATAGCCATAAAAAGGATGTGGGCTGGTCATGTGGTAAAAATGAGGGATAACTGACAGAAAATGCATGTATTTCATTGGTTTCCAAATAATATCAA